GAGAACAGTAAAAAGGAGACAGCATGTAGGGAAGAGAGGAGAGGTATAGGAGGCGAATGAAAGGAGCGAATAAATTAAAACTTGTATTAGTTGATAATTCAAATGTTTCTTCGCGCCATGGCAAACCAATTTCAAAGTTTACCGTGTAACAGCTCTAGCATTCAACAGCACCACCTGCGTTTAAAGCCTACTGTGACACGCTACAACAACTGATTTGCATACGACGCATTTATTAAAACTAATTATTATCACCATTAGTGTGCATCGAATTTGAATAACACTGATGGGGACCACTGCACGTACGTCTAGATTTTTTTTCTCCTTTTTCGTGTGCCCTTAACGACAGAATCCATTCGCTGGGGTTAATAATTACATGCTAATATCCTGGGTAAGCATATGTCGCGCTGACGTGTTATACGTTCCGCACTGCGGCCTGCGTCAGTGATCATCTAACTGCGTTGTTAAAGGTCGTTAATGAAGTGGCATATTATGTACAAGATGCCGTCCCATCCCAGATAACATCGCCCGATCATTTTGTGCCGGAGCAGCTGCTACCCTTCTGGAAATGTCAGTGAGTGTTCGGGGTCAATAACTAAAGTGCTCTTCATTCGACGCACGCTGAAAGTGCACAAGATTACATCGCTCGAGAGGCGGGGAAGGGTGCGGACGCAAGGCGGCATAACAACTGCCGGTGTAGCGAATCTTTTATGCGCCACTGTTTACACAAACAATATCGGAGTACCTTCTACGACCACCCTCTTGTATTATTCAGCTGCGTAATTGGGGTATATAGAAAGAGAGGTGCGCTGTGTCAATTGATCGCCTGCCATCTAGTCTTCCGCGCACCGGCGTGCGCTTGCGCGCGTGCGCCGCGCCGGGTCCCCGGGAGACTCGTCGGGTCTGATCCGAGTAGCCTATCACTTCTAGAGTTGGATTTTAATAATTTAAGGAAGCATGTTGAGTTGAACAAGAAACGCATCCCTGTCAGAATGCTGAACATCGGCGGTGTCACGCGGCGAAGTTTACATGCATGCAGGCAGCTCCAGCGGGTCACATTCTCTCGCAGTTAAGCGATCCACCGTCTACACCGGTAAGTGGGAAGTTTTCTGCCTACTAGTATTTAAATATAGCGAGAATAGGAGCAGCTCGCCGAAGAATTTATTCGCGTTCCGGAACACGATAACGTAAACGTACAAGTAAATTTATCTGGTTTGGAAATTATATTGACACAATTTTCTCGTTACATGCTCATAGTACGTTTATATCGTGCTTTCGTTACATCTTCTGACTTTTTATATGGATTGGTAACATTACCCGCTTCATTAATGTTAATCTAACGTTTTAATTTGGTCGCAATACATTAAAATAACAATATAGTCGAGTTCTTAACTACATGAAAACGGCCCGTTTATAAATTGTATTAATAGATTGAGAAATATTGGCGTTAAATTTTCGATTTAATTCTCGTTATCTATAATGTTCGATATTAGTGATAAAAAGTCGTTGTATTAGATAATTATTCACCGCCAGAATATTCTGTAGTAAACAAAATTATGTAGCGCATATTCTACACTCACAGTTGTAAAACAATCTTATTTAGATGGAATGGAAAACGCTATAGAAATGCGTTGAACGTAATAGCAATACTCATGTTATTATTACAACGCCATGTTATTTTGAAAACTGATGAAATAAGGCATACGTTCATTTCTATTTTGTTCCGTGTATCGCTTTCTCTTTTTTATTTTCATATATCCCACACTATGAATGCAACGTGTATTAAACTATATAGTTTAACGATTGAAATTATGTATTACCAACCAGCGAGCTAATCCTAATATCACAGAAAAACCTAGCAAATCCTGACCAGTATGGATCTATATTAGACAAACGTTTAAAAAAAATTATACGTGGAATATAGAACTATATACGTAATTCCAGCAGGAAAACGTTACAAAATACCGCTAAGAAACGGAGGACGGAAACGGAAACGAGATTTAGCCAGTCTTTCCCCGTCATCGTACGAGTTTCTTCCGTGCGTACGAGATGCCGAGGGCGTTTCTGGTAAAGAAGAAGACCAATGTCTTCTCTCGACCGTGGATAGATTCGCCGCTACTATACGAACACGATGACAATAAGCACTGCATAGCAGGTAACTCAACGCTACCCGCAGTAAATAACCTGTGAAACAGCCGTCTTTGCTGTTCTAGTCCCTATGCTTAACGCCTTAGCGAGCTTATGAATACCCCTGTATTTTCGCATTCATACGGAGAATAGACAGGGAAGGTAGCAACTACCGGGTTCCGATGAACCGCACATTATGGATGCTTACAACAATGCGAAGCTATTATTATGGATGAATTTCTTTGGGAATAACCAGTGTCGTCCATAAAATCAATGGTGTTCGAAGGATTGAAGTCGTATCTCGAAAAGCAATCTAACAAACAAACACAATTGTAAGAAAGTCGCAAAAAAATTATCATGGGTTGCGTTCTGTTTTATTAATTTCCCAGTCTATATGTGGTATTTAAACAAACACAAACATACATTTACGCACGCACGCGTACACACACACACACGCGCGCTCACACATCAATATAT